GAATGAGTAATTGAGGTGAGAGGTTTACAACATGCATCATGGAAGCTGTTTGAGTTTTCTAAATCAGTGTTATTCTCCATTAGTAGTTTAGATCAAATTATTTCTTGAAAAAGACAAAACGTCTTGTCTGATCCCTTTGAGTTTCATTTTTTGGTAGTGTTTCTTATGCTGTTTTTCTGTTTTGGATTTCATAATAGTATTGGCTTTCCATCTTTGGTATAGCTGTTGGAAGCAATATCCAGATGCTAATTTTCTATGCTCCAAAAGCAACCCTTAATCATCTTTCAAATCATCTCCTGTTATGCCTTAGTCAATGCATGTGAAAGAGCAGGAGCATTCTTTCTGTGCCTCTCGATCCCAATTCCATATGGCAAGGGGCATTTAAATGATGAGAATTGCTTTTTAAAGTAAAGTTGATGTACTTGAATTCTATTCAATTAGTCATTATTTTTTTACTAGGGTCGTGGAAGTTGCTTTCCAGTCATATGCTACATGTGGTGTAACGATCTTTATATGGATGTTGCTTGTCCAAGCAAATCCTCTCATGAAGAGTTATATGTGTTGCAGCTATTCTATCTTCCTTTGAAGTTTGAATGCCTCTTACCAATGCAACTTTCTTCCTTTTTTTTTATTCGTGTGGAACTTGTTTACCCTTAATTAGTTTGTTAATTTTAACGTGCAGTTCCAGGCATTTGACTTTCGGACAACTTTGAGAAACAAACCATTCTTGCAGCTTTTCCATTCTCTATATGTATATCCTTTAACTGTGAGCTTGAGTAGGAAAAGGAATCTATTCGTAAGAGTTGAGCTAAGAAAGGATGATACAGATGTTCGTAGACAACCTTTAGAGGTAAAATTGTTGATTGATACTTTGCACTATGATTTTTAAACTCGTCTTATTGTTCTTTCTGTGCTACTGATATGACTAGGCAATGTATCCCAGGGAACCTGGTTTATAACTTCAGAGTTGCTGTTCGTGCTTCGGTGGCCTGCTACCATGATGAAATTAAAGTTTCTCTCCCTGCTGTTTGGACACCATTGCATCACCTTCTATTCACTTTCTTCCATGTTGATCTTCAAATGAAACTAGAAGCTCCAAAACCAGTGAGTTCAACGATATCCTTTTTTCTTTTCTTCCATTTGAAATAATACAAAATCATCTGAACCTCATCTTAGTGGTTGTATACTAGTTGGTTAGTGGTTTGGCCTGTTTCGCACTCCTCTCATCTTCTATTGCAATCCTAAGTAGTTCTGTTCTTTTACTTGGCAGGTAGTAATTGGATATGCAGCACTTCCATTATCCACCCATGCACAGTATGCAATTGCCTTTATGTTTGTCATCTTTTGTTTTGTTTCTTTCCTTGATGATTTATTAACTTTCATTATTTGTTCTGCTACTGGAGTGAGAGGTATGGTAGTTCATGGTATTGGAAATAAACAGGGGGCAGAAATATAATCACCTATTCGGTATTCTAGTGGTTTGTTAAGTTAATGTTATAATTTCAATTGTCAGGTTACTTTCCTGGTTTATGTTGTGGGTACTTGGATGATATCAATGTGAG